GATATTTTAGTGATTTCTGTTAGAAGATTCTAATATAGGGAGTTTATTTGCAGTTGTGAGAAGTAATTACAATTATCAGACTTCAGGCAAGGTTTCAGCTACTGTGGCAAGGGAGGTTTCAACAATTTATTTTATGCACTAAGAGATAAAAGTCAGTTCTTTTTCATACAACACAGATAAAAGTCATTCGGTTCAAACAAGCCACTCTTAACATGCCATTCAAAAGGCAAAAGTTGGATGTCCATTCCGGATTTGATTATTCCGCATTTAGATATTAAAATCTGAATCCAATAAAAAGCATCATTTTATATATCCTTTTTTTTTAATTCAAATAGACTTTCCATTAAATTAAAGGGATAACAGGACTTCAACAAAGGTCAACAAAACAACAGAACCTAAAATAGGGACCAGAAAGCAATTAAACCATAAAAAACTGAGGGTCCATTTGGCTTATAGTTGGAACCCGAATGGTTTATTCTTATAGCTTGTTTACGGGAATCAAAATCATAATTGGAATCCCAAGGGAAGGAGGGGAGGGAATGGTTATTCCCTCAAATGGAAGAAAGCCATTCCACTAGGAATGGGAATCAAATTCTAATTCTGCACAACCAAACATTTGCAATTAGAATAAGCCAATCTAATTCTGATTCCAAGCCCCTATTCCCATGAACCAAACAGGCCCTAAGACATATCAGCTTGCACCCGTGGATCTAACCAACCAGTCAGGGCAGGCATTGACAAAAACACCCTGATCGGAAAGACCCCCACTTGGAGCCAAGGCATGGGCAACAGCATTGTTTAGTATTTTAATGTAAAAGGACACTTGAAGTTCTTCACCATTCCAGTGTCATTATCTCTAAAAGGAAAGAAAGCTTCAGCAGTAACATCAATTTTTCTAGCTTTTGAGATCTTTGATCAAACTAAAGCAATCCAACTCCACTTCTATAACAGAGAACTAGCGGGGACCCGTGCGATGCACGGGATTTGTTAAACAATAGAAACACATAAAAGTATATAGTTATTTTATATTTTTAATTTTTTTAATAATTAATAATTATTAATATTTTTACTAATTTTTTACAATACAAATAACAATAATTAATTTTAGATAGGGTTGTTCATCAAATCGATGAAACCGACCAACCCAACCAACTTGCTCGAGTTGGTCAGTTTTTTAGTATTTCTGGTCGGCTTTAGTTCAACAATTTCCCTATCCAACTAAGTTGGGTCAATTTCGCTTTAGCCATTTGTAAATCGACCAAGATTGAATGACCTAAACAAACAAACACACACACACACACATATATATTATTTTTAATATAATTTTTTATTTCGAGAAAGTGAGAAAATTATCATATTTCTTAGTCTAAAATATTTCATATCATAAATTTACTTTTTAATAACACCATTATATATTTTTTTGAATTTAAATATATCTTTTAAGTTTAAATATCTTGAACCGACCAACCAAACCGAAAAATTATCCCAAACCAATACAACCCAAGTTGGTCGGTTTTCACTAATGGTCAATCGGTTTTAGGTGACTAACTCCCCAACCTAACCAGGTCTATTTGGTTGGCCAAACAACCTACAACCGAGTCGAACCAACCCATAACAATAGTTTAATCTCCAATAATTATTGAAAATTTATATAAAATACACAATTATTGAAAACATATTGATAATAAAATACAATAAATAACTAATAAAAATACAATAAATACTAAAAAAATATATTAAATTAGTAAATAAATAGTATAGTCTCAAATAATAGTTTAATCTCTAATAAATATTAATCAATAAATTATAAAAAAAGTACAATAAATACAATATGTGCAATAAATTAAATTTAAAAAGTTCAATAATAGTAGTTTAATCTCCAATAATTATTAAGAAAATTCTGTTAAATAACAAAAGAAAAATAAATTTATACATAATTATTGAATATATATTTATCACAAAAAACAATAACTAATTACTGAAATGCAATAAATATTAATTTTAGTATATATAATTATATAATAAATATAGATTAAGGGTTTAAAATTATTATCAAAAAACATTAATTTTTTTGAAAGTTATTTTCTTGAATTATTAATTGATAAAAGTGAAATTAGTTATTTACAATATTGTTTAGTTATCTAGAAAAATATCATTATTTAAATTTTAAAATATTAATTATTTGTTGAATTTAATAATTTTCAATTTACACTATTATTACATAATTTGGTTATTAAGTTTGTAAAATATTAAATTATTATTAATTTCAATTTTATGTTACAATTATTTGTCTACTTTTAATATTTTTATTTTAAATTTATTACATAATTTTTTTATTTTGACTATTTAAAATCTAGCTATGTTAAATATTTCATTATTTAAAATATTTAGTTATTTAAATATTTAATTAATATTGTAAAATATTTAATTCTTTGTTATTTAAATTTTATTTACTTAAAGCTATTACATAATATTAAATATTTTGTGATATTGGATTGTCCCTCAACCAAACCCAACCCACTCAAATTGCACATAGTAGGGACACGCGTGATGCATGGGCTTTGTTAAGCGAAAGTTAAACAATAAAAGCACATAAGAGTAGACAATTGCTTTATATTTTAACCTTTTAAACAATTAATAAATAGTTATATTTTATATACTACTTTTAATAATTTTTTACAATACAAAAATAACAATAATTAATTTTAGCTAGGTTGTTCATCAAACCGGTGAAACCAACCAACACGACCCAACTTGACTCGAGTTGGTCGGTTTTCTAGTATTTCTGGTGGGTTTCGGTTCAACAATTTTCCAACCTAACTAGGTCGGGTCAATTTCGGTTTGGCCATTTGTAAATCAACAAAAACCAAACCAACCTAGCGATATATATTAGATATAATTTGTAATATGGAAAAGTGGAAATTTCCATATTCCTTAGTCTAAAATATATTTTATATTATTAATTTAAAATTTAAAATTATTTTTTAATAATACCACTGTGGTTTTTAAATTTAATTTTTATGTTTAAATCTTTTGAACCAACCAACCAAATAGAAAATTGACCCAAACCAATATAACCAAAGTTATTGAAATGTTTTCACTAATGGTTGCTTAGTTTCGAGTGACCAACTCCCCAACTTGGCTAGGTCAATTTGGTTGGCCAAACAACACACAATTGATCCGAACCAACCCGTGAACACTCCTAATTTTAGCTAAACTAATAGTTTAATCTCTAATAAATAACAATAGTTTAATCTCCAATAATTATTGAAAATTTTCTTATAAATAAAAAAATATATATTTATACATAATTATTGAAAATGTATTTATCACAAAAATACAATAAATATAATTTTAGTATATATAAATATATAATAAATATAAATTAAAATTTTAAAATTATTATTAATAAATATCAAATTTCTCAAAGTTATTTTCTAGAATTATTAACTGATATATGTGAAATAATGTTTTAATTATTATTACATTAATAATTATAATTATTATTATATTATTTAATATCTTTAAAAACATTTTCTTTGAAAGTTGTTACCTGTTTTTGTTATTTTAAAGCTTCAATACCTCTAAATTATTTAATATATTTTTCATTATTTCAATAATATTTAAAAAATTTTCAATTATTTATATTTTATATTCTTGTTATCAAATATTATTAAATTTATTCTAATTATTTTTGTGTTTTTTATAAAGTTTTTAAGGTTATTACATAATTTCTTTATATAATCTATTTTTTTGTTTTTAAATAATATTTAAAATATGATTTAGTTATTAAATTTTTTAATGTTTAAAATTAGTTATTTACAATATTATTTATCTATTTAAGTAATATCAATATTTAATATTACTTATTTATTGAATTCCATAATCCACAAAATTATAAGTTATACTATTATTACATAATTTCATTATTAATTTTGTAAAATATAAAATTATTATTAATTTAAATATTATGAAATCTATTATAATGATTTTATACTTTTAATAAATTTTTTAAGTTTATTACATAATTTCATTATTTGAAATATTTAAAATTTATTTATGTTAAATATTTTGTTATTTAAATAAAATGTAAATTATTTAAATTTTATTTATTTTAAATTGATTACATAATATCAAAAATTTTGTTATATAATATTTATCTATTTTTATTATTTTGTCATTTAGAATATTTAGTTATTGAAAAATTTTAAATTTAAATAATATTTAAATCGAATAATTTGCAAATTTATAATTTATATTGTTAGTACATAATTTCATAAAAGTATAACATTATTAGTAATATGAATATTTTTAAATATGTGATAATTTTTTTTGTGTTTTTAATAAATATTTTGAAGTTTTTACATAATTTTATTATAATATTTAAATAATTCTTAAATTTTTTAATTCAAACCTTAGAGATAATTTAGGAGAGAAACTCCCTACTAAATTAGAGATAGTTATGAATTATATATAATTTAAGAGATAAATAGGAATTATAGATAATTTATGAGAAAGTGGAGGATAGTAATGTCACTTGGATAAGTTAGATTAGATTTTGGTAGGAAGAGATTTTAGGAATAGTTTTAAGAAGGGATATCGAAGAGAATAAACATAAAGGAAAGAAGAATGGATTGTGCATGCTGAAATGTCAAAATGAGAGAGAGAGTAATGAAATGACTTTACGAGATAGCAAGGATTGCTAAAATGAAGAGGGGCTAAGAGTTCTCCATAACCTCGACCTAAAAGGGATAAGAGACTTTCCACAGACCAAGCAAGCTGCAAGAAAGTTATCAGCTTTATCTTGAATTATAGCTCCATCAATTTGCATTACACAAAATCTTTCTATCACTATTTTACTTCATAGCACCAAAAGGAGGAATCCAAGAAGGAACACTAGCACTTCTACAGTTAGGGCTTATGGGAATAAGCGTTGTCTCCGCCGATTATAAATGTGAAATCACATATTTAGAGTCCGGCTTCAGTGCAGGCTGCTTCAGTCAGGGCACTGTTTACGCGATTGGAGGATGTGCCAAACGTCCTAACGTTTGAAGCATGCGGGGAGGTTGTTTGAAACGTTTGACGCCGTTAGCTTTCAAAACCCACGCGGCCACACCAACTCTTTTGCTTCTACAGTGACGCTGAGTACTTTGCCTAAAACCTCCGTTCGTCGCCGGAGAAATGAAAACTCCGGTGATTGATCCTTCTATACGTCGCTGAATGTCCGTATTTCCGTTCTTCGCCGTCACGTCTTTCACGAACCTTGCTTTAAGCGTTCCTAAAAATGGAGAGCAGCAGTTGAAGGTAGAAGAGAATAGATTTCTCTGGTTTTAGTCTCGCTAAAGAACATGCCTCCTTTGACTATCCAGCCATTAGATGGCCATTTGCTTGAAGAGTCTGTCGTGAAATCGCGTCTCAAGAGGCTCTTAGAGCGGCAAAAGTTCCTGAGTGTTCTGAGGTTTTCATCGACTGAGAAGCCCATCCTTGGTGAACAACAGTATAACAAAGATGCTACTAACAACAACAACGATTGGGAGCCGAGTTCTGTGTGTTTGGTCAAGATGGTTTAGAACTTCATTGAAGAGAACAATGAAAAGCACTCCTCAACTGCCAAATGCAGACAAAATCGATGCAATTGCTTCAATGGAAATTGCAAAGATAGCTACGAGATGAATTCGACTTGCGCAATTGTTTCGGTGAACCGATGCCGGTGGCTTCCTGTGGCGATGTCTGCGAATTTCTCAAGGTATACTGATTTTCTAGATCTCTTTTAATTCTTTTAATTTGCTTTTATTTCTATATCTTTAATATATTTAATATACTCAGTTACTAAAGGCAAGGATTTTAGCATGTCTTATTTTTAAATGAAAAAATTCCCCTTTTCTTGAACAGAGCTTGGTTCCTTGTGCGAGCGTTGTCGAGAGAAACCTCTTAGTGGACACTGCGAAGATCATAGAGAAGAACAAGAGCTGCAAACTTAAGGATGCTTGCAAAAAAGATCGTCACTGATGGTCTTATTAGTCTTGGCTATGGTGCATCTATCTGCAAATCGCGTTGGGAAAAATCTCCATTTTATCCTGTTGGTACTTTCTCTTTTTTTGTCTGAATTCCATTGTCACTGATGGCCTTCTTTTTTGTTCAAATTCCATCCATATGCATTAAAGATTGCGTTTCTACAGGAGTTCTTAAAGCAGAAAAATAGAAAAAAATATCTTTATTCTTCTGCTCTACATTTTCGGTGAAACTCAATTATTATTTTCCCTTTGTGATGCAGGAGAATACGAATACATAGACATTATTGTGGAAGGTGAACGATTGATAGTCGACGTAGACTTTCCGATCAGAATTCGTGATTCCACCACTGGTGATGGTTGTTTGTTGCCAGCGGTAATAATTGTTAAGTCGCCATCGGATGGAAGAGGGAGAGAGAGGGAGAGAGAGGGAGAGAGAGGGAGAAGAGAATTTGTGACACTCGAGCGAAAGGAAGGGGCTCGAAAAATGGGTTTTAAAAGCTAATGGCGTCAAACGTTTCAAACAACCTCCCCGCATGCTTCAAACGTTTACACGAGTGGAGGCGCGTCCTCCAATCGGCCCTGACCGAAGCTGCCTGAACTGAAGCCGGAATCACATATTTACTAGCTGTCGTACTTTACAAAAATTCTCATTTTTACTCTTTCATCTCAATAAATTTAATATTTTATATTTATATAAAATATTTCATTTTGATAAATATTCCAGTTTAGTATAAACTGGTTAATTGTGGTTGAATGTTACGTGAAAGGATACAAATGTATTTGAGTGTCATTTATAATCATCCAAATATTCAAATCCAAATGTCATTCGAGTTTTTCATCATTACGTTGATTCAATTTTGATTCTTCAGTAAGATGAATAATGTTTTATTTCGAATGATAATTTTGACATTTTCAAAAAATTTAAATTAAAAATATCATCACGTGATAAATATAATTTACAGACTCCTAATTGCAGGAATTAAATTGAAAAGTTTTGGAAATTCAGATATAGATTGATATATTTTGAAATTCGGGTACCAAAGCACACTAGATCCGGTACTAATCTTCAATTTACCCAAACTAACGTGCCATATACGGTTAATGATATGATCATGCCAATCCCATCAAAATGGTGAACTGGAACACTTTGGATCTATGACGCGTGTCAAGTAATGGCCCAAATGAATTAATGACAAGCTCTGAAGTCCGAAGTCTAAACAGGTCCTCTGTCGCATGTTTTACTCGATTTTGGTTGATTTCCCTTAATTGCACAGACTGAAGCCGATCTCTCCCTTTAATTGTACTGCAACTTACACACTATTGGAGTCTGGAATTAGTTAAGGGAGATTAGCTCGTTGCAGCACAGCTGGGAGAGGGAGCTAGTCCCAGGATGCTTCTACCATGGGCGGCAGCAATGGTGAAGAAAGGTGGCCTGGGCTTGGCCGCCATCTCTTACGTTGGTGTGGACTACCTGAGACACTTGTCCCCATCGTGGCACTCTCGCTTGCAGCCAACGCTCTGGGTTGTGCTCGCCTTGGCCGCTGTGACTCGTGTTCCTTTTTACAGGCACTGGTCTTCTGAGTTCCGCGCCGTTATCCCTTTTATTGCTTCCATGGTCTTCATGCTTGGTGCTCTTCTTGTGGAAGCCCTTTCTGTTCGGTCTGTCACTGCCGTTCTGGGTCTCGATTGGCATAGGTAAAAAACTGTTAGAACCCATTTTTGTCTTGTTCTTTTTTTTATATATATTTTTTGAGCTGAACATGAAATCATCTAGGTAAAAAACTGTTAGAACCCATTTTAATGATCTGGGTTCTTGTTGATTTTGTATGTTTTATATAAATGGACGGGGTTGCGCTTGGATCTGAGAGTGGTACCAACAATTTGAAAAGAGGGTTCAAAATTTCTTTTTGGTAGCCTTCTTTTTTGTGTTTAGCTATTGCACTCGTTAGTCATTTTATTCTTTTTTTATTTATTTTCCCAAAAAATCATTTTTATTTCTTTTTTTTTTCCTGCTTGGTATTGACTTGGATCGGATTAGGTCGTAACTACTAGAAGTTGTAGTTGAAGTAGCCCTTGCACTAAAGGATGATCTATGGTTTATGTGAAATGCATCAGATCTTTGGTAGAAGACCTGATACGTCCCTAGATCTCATCGTAATTATGGGGCTTTTTTACCTTTTGTTTTTATTATTGTGCATCTTAGTAGGTTTGGGTGAACTTATTTGAGAAAGTATCTTAATAGTTTGCATATTTGGAAATTGTATCCTTATAAATGTAGATGTCCTATAACAATTGATGAATAAGGATGCGGATGGTCAATTTCCAAGTGGCCATTGTGGAATGAGGCTGAGTGATCTTTTTGAGAATACTTGTGCAGTTATGCTTACCACAGTTCAGATTGTTCCCACCTAACATCCTGTGGAACTTGATATTCAAATATGCAAATAATTCATTTTGGTTGGAATTTGTTATAAAAGGAAAAAAAAATACAAAACCATTGATAATGTACCCTTTCGTAAGAGGAAGTCATTCCTTTTTTGGTGATAACTTTGTTGTCAAAAGCTCTAGTATATTAATTTGGTCTACCTTTATTGAAAATATCTGGCATTAATATTCTTTATTTTTGCACTAAAGAGAAATCAGATTCTGGTATTTCGAAAACTTCCTTACCATCCTCTGGCTATCAGAACATATTTCTGGTTGTGCTTATGAGAAAAACATGGGAGAATAATAAACGGAAACTGTTTGATCAAATAATAATAATAAGCTGAAACTGTAGTATTATCATTGTTTGATTTTTAATTAGGTCCAGGTTAATTAAATACAGAAGGAAATGGTTTGCAAACTTTTCAACATTTATTTTCAGATTCTTGCCCTTTTTGTTGGAACTATCCTGCCATTCCCAACTACTAACGGACCAACTTTGGTTATTGTGGGTCTTGATTGGAGTTTACTTCAGCAATAACAAGCTGTAAAACTAGGGTTCCATTGACTTCTGAAGGTTGAAGATCTACCAAAGAAAAGGAACTCTAGTTTTACAAATGAAAACTCTGTTATACACAATACTTTGGTGTGATGAATTCATATTATATTGTGGTATACATCAACTATATTGTGTTGGCCAAATTGCAAGCCATATATTAACACCCTCAGGTTTTCATTGACATGTTATTTTAGCATAAAACATAAAAATACTAAAAAAGTATAGGATGTTAATCTACAGGAGCAAAGGAGCTACTTTTGGTAGGAGGAGATGCCAATGAGTATGCAAGCTGTTGACTAAGTTGATGGTGAAACCACCCAAATAAACTGAACTTAGAATATCAGATAAGTCATATACTGGTTTCCATGATTTCCCAGAGTGAAGTTAAGAGGTTGAGTGGACATACATTGCTGAAAAGTAGAGATGCTTAACTCATACAAAAAAAGTGATATTCCAACTGGAAATAATGATATAGAAGAAAGGTCTGGGGCATTGTCAGTTATTTGATTGGGTTCCTTTTCTCTTTCTTTAGAGCTTAGACTTGTTTAGAGAGCACAATAGTTTGGTTCCAGGTTGAGATTCAGAATTCAAGAATTCCTTGCAGTAGGTTAGCTTTCATATCCTTCTCTTTTCTCCCTTCAACAGGAGTAACCAAATTGTAGATCATGCATGAAGGTTCACAATCTGTGGAAGGTGCATTGAAAAAGAAGCAAGAGTAGTCTCAACCAGGGAAATTTCAGGGAAGAAGAATTTGAGGCATTGGAAGATGGATGAGGCTGGTAGAGGGAAGAAGAGAGAAGAAGTTGAAAGTCAACCAGGGAAATTTCAGTTGGCATGTTGTGGCTAGTAATGCTTCCCATGTAAGGCTGGTATTGCAATCTTGGACAGCACCAGCTGAAGGAAAAGTAAAATTCAACTTTGATAATTGTGCTCTTGGAAATTTGCAATCCTTCAGGTAAGGGTGCTTTCAGTAATTCCCTGGGCAATATCATCTATAGTTCATTCCACTACAAGATTTAAAAATTTCAGGATGGAATGACTTGATTTCAGGAGGATATCAAGTGATCGTTAGTGGGATGTTGCCAAGACATATCTTAAGAGAAGCAAATGCTTTGTCTTGCATGCTGAACAGCTTGTTATGTACATTGTAGATCAATTAATGACCTTGCTGATTCTCTAGCTAGGGGTAGTGCGGGGAGGTCTATATACTTTGTTTTTGGGTTTTCTCAGCTGTATTCTTTAACTTCTGTTGTTTCATTGCCTTTTCTATTCTAGCCACTTGAATTAGGGACTCTATTTTGTCTTGCACATTAATAACATTATCTTTTTGAAAAGGTAATATAAAATGTATTTATAGAAGAAAAGATATACAAGTGTATTGGGTTCACTGTACAAATGGTTTTTGTATGTATGAACATCCTTAAAAGCCCCGAAAAAAAATTTCTCAGCCAAAAAGAAGAAGACCCAAAAAAAAGTTCTCTTTGAAGTGTATGTTAGTGCTCAGCCATCCTCTAAGATCCTCAACTATTTGATTATGATTTATCCACTTATCTTCCTGAAGTTGTTTTTGATAAATAAATCTCCTATTTCTTTTACCCCATAAAGACCACAATACAGCCAGTGGTTTGGTAGACCATAGAATTTGATCCTTCTTTCTCATTTCTCCTACATGCCAGCTTTCTGGAAAGAGATTTAAATGATCTGAGCATGCAGCTTTGATATGAGAACACTTTGAAGAAATGTGACCAGATTCTGAAAGAAAACCTGCAATAGAGAAACAAATGATTGGATGTCTCAATTTTCCTGTTGCATAAGGACTGTGGATATCAGGTAGGATCATGCCTTTTCTAATCAGCATTTCCTTGGGCATTTTTCTCCTGCAGCAACCCACGAGAAAAATTTGATTTTCGAGGGGGCAATCCCTCAAACAGATTTACAAGGGAAGGAATCTATCTGATCAGACCTCATTAATAACATTTTCTTTAAAAGTTGTTATCCAAAAGAAATAGGAAAAACAACCAAGGCAAAAATTTTCCCATCAACTTCTAGTTCTTTGAGGAAATCACCTTCCTTATTTATTTATTTTTTGATCAATAACTGTGGATTGAATTAATATTAAAAATATGAGAAAATTACAGGGCAAGGGGCTAAACAATCTTAGCTCCCAAGAACAACCATTAAGCATCAAAAGAACAAAAATTACAAGACAGCCCAAAAAATAGAATGTTTGTTCACCCCTTGTCTAGCTAGACCATCTGCCAAAGAGTTCGCACTTCTTTTTACCCATTTGTATTGGATTTCCATGTCCTTAGTCAGCCA